AGGCCGTGCTCGTGGTATAATAGCGGCGTTGATCGCCGGTGTGTCGTCGCTGTCATCTGGTACAATACTCCACGCTAGGCTCAGCTCATACTAATACCATACTTCCTCCGTTCACAAAAACTAGGGACATTTGGACACAAATCACAGTAGAATAGCCAACACCTACACAAAGTCGTGTTGTGCACGAAGAAGCTCTGAAATTTCGAGCTTGATTCTAACAAAAACTATAAAACTGTGCAAATAGTGTAGGTGAGTTGAATTCGAGTGGAACTAATCACTTTCAGCGATATACAACAGCATGACCACGGTGGATTACACCACGGAAGATTTAAAGTGTAACGGAGTTACAACTCCGTTATACATGTATACAGTATACGTATCTTGTATACCAAATACTCGATGACGACCATTTCGAGGATCCATTGTTTACATCTATTGTTTATCTAACAAACGAGGTGCTCAGAGATTACCAAGAAGGACTGGTTCGTAGAGCAGCTAGAAGAAGTAGTAAAAGCAATAATTAACTTTTCAATTTGCTTCAGAGATAAAGCTTCATCTGTAACATAGCAGCACTTGTTGTTGTCAAGTCCTCGGAGTCCCTCGAGCCACCGAGTCCAAGATCAAGACCGTCGAGTCCAATAATATCAACTTTACAAGGTTATCGAGTTTTACATCGTCTGTAGCCCTCGAGTTACAAGTATGGAGCAGACCAATGCCGACGTGCAGAGCCACCGAAATACACTGGTGCGCTGAATGAGGACCTGGAATTGTGTTTTTTTTTACTGTTGAACAGTACTTTTCGGATTATCATCCAGTCATGGTGGAGAATTCACCTACGTTCGTCACTATGGTTTCCTGCTTTTGGCACCAACGCCGATGAATTGGTATCGACAGTTTGTGGCTGACTGTGAGCGTAGCCAGGTCGTCCGGACTTGGGACGTGTTCAAAAACGCAATGCGTAAACGTTTCCTACCACCTGATTACGAGTACATGCTGCGAGAGAAACTCTGCAAGCTAACTCAAACGGGCTCCTTGCATGACTACCTGAGTGCGTGTCAGGACATACTGATTCAATGTCAAGTTGAGATCACCCCATTGGAGCTGATGTTCTACTTTCAGCAACCCCTGCGCGGTGAAACCTCACAACACCTGCGTGAGCACCATCCACAGAATCTTGAAGATACCATCGAAATGGCTCTGCGATTTGATCACAGTGTGTCGAAAGGTGACATCCGTTCGGCTACAGCGGACTGGATGAAGGCTGCTAATTGTCATCGGTGCAAACAGGAAGGCCACATTGCCCCGCAATGCACAAACTCGAGGAAGTAAGCCTCCTTTAAAACCGGGTCGTATAACGGAGTTACAACT